AGATTTTACGAAAAATATTTGTAGTTCTCATTATAACATTTATAGATACTGTATCGTGACCTTTCAACAGTAAATTCATGAAGCATGCAAGTATAGAGTTGAAAATAATGAATTCAGCATGAGAAACTCTACTGATCATTCGGTTCGTGATGTCTTTGAATGCGCGAACTGGCTCTTAATCGACCTTCCTCTATCCGTTCGATGACTGTAAGTCTGCAATATCGTGGGCTGCATGAACAAATAGCAAAGCATTTAAACTAAAGCTACCTGACATTATTTAAGAAAAGCTCAGAGTATTTTATAGGTATTATCGGTAACGATTGAGAGGAAATGAATTCAATTTCCTCTAACCGTATTTGATTCAAACGATTGATTTTTGAATGATCAATTTATCTTCGTCATAATGATAAATTATAAAATATTTCTTTTTTCTTAATTTGGTTGACAGCAGATATTGTCTGATCTGGTGTTTATACAATTGATAATTACATGGACTACGAACCGATAGAGCTTATGTTTTGTTATTTTTATGGATCATTAGGACATTAATAATTAAATAACCGAATTGCGATATAAGGATTAATGGCAATCAATACAATTTATAGGGTATTGATTTCAGGATAAAATGAGGTGGGCATAGAATCATTCATGCTCTATCCACCTCCATTTATCCATTATCTAGAACAACTATCATTTTATCTAATTACTTTGCTGCCTTTGAGTTTGTACTTTCTAAAGGGAGGCTAACGTTAGTAACTGGATTGCACTTATGAATAAGCAACAAAAAATTAAACGATCTGTTGTTACGACATGTTGATTAAGTTATTTTATTTTACAACTAATCCTTTTTAATTTCCTTGCTTCGATCTTGTGAAAATTGATATTAAGTATTAATTATGTCGTTATGTCAATAAAAAAGCATCTTTACTACTAACAGACATCTAGTCCGATTCATTTCCATTCCAGAGATAAATTGAGCAATGAAATATATTTACTGTCTACTTAGAAAGATCTTTCTATAAATACTAGTGATCCATAAAATGATTAGACACAGGATGTGTGTTCACTACTGCGTTAAATCTTCCCAACAGAATCATTCCAATTTGGGATAAAATTTTAGTAATTAAATAACATCAATGGTTCGTTTCATGACTATATAAATCTAAATAGTCTGTTATATCGGTTACAGTCATCATCCATTTTCATTAATTTTACGGCCATTAGTTGCCTACTCAAAATCTATATGATAATTATTTATAGGTTATAAATCGATGTATATTAACAATAATAATTATTAAACTCATCTCAACATTAGACAGTATGATACATTATACTTTTGAACTAATATTAAACGAAGTTAAGATAGATATTTTAGCCACTTCTCTTTCCAATAAGTAATCCATTTTTAGTATTTAAATCGACCATTTGAGATTTCATATAGTAAACTACTGCAATAAAGCTAACTTAAATATAAAATAGACTAGTACATTGTAGTTTACTTTTTAAATATGCTGATTTGAAATTATTTGATCAATAGGATATTTTCTAACCAAAAGTATCCAATTTCTAATCATTTCAATACTAATTTAATTTTTTTTAAATTCCTATGGATGAAGATACATGTAATTTACTTGTTTATCAGTTTTTTGGTGGGCAAATAGTTTTTACCTCTTATTATTAATAATAGCCCGGTTAAATTATTGAGTAAATATGGCATCATTTATTCCTGATATTAACATACTGTATGATTCATTTTTGTGGCCTGCATAGCTTGTCTCTCTCACTCTTCCCTTAACCATGGGTTATCGATTCGTTAGCATTGAATTGAAATCTACTGATCAGTATAGAGATAAATTGACAATTTAACACTTTGACGCCTTGTCTACAACTGCATTATTATTGTTTGACGAAAACAATTCCTTTAGGAAATACTTTGAAAGATGCAGGTTAATTCAGTTGTCATATTGAATGATGGCGAGAATAAATTGTTTACCATTCAGAGTTATTCTCCCATGGCGATATTTGTTGTTTGTTATTGCCATGATCGAATTGTTGATCCAAGATTGTATTTAGTTACGATTTCCTTGATTATTATTGGATATCTTGACATTTTCAGTATTAGTCTTCCGCCTCTTAGACAATTCCATCACTCCATCGTATAAATAAATTTTTTCCATTCTTCATCTTTTTTACTTTCTCCTCTGTGGGCTTCCATTAAGTAAAAATAATTTTCTTCAAGGCTCCGTTATTAAGTGCTATCATTTCACCCCATCTCTCTAGTGTTTGTGGCATTCTTCTGGTTTTAGCCGCTGAATATTATTAGGTATGATTTATAGACCTGATAACTGATAAATAATTTCAGTTTATATACTTTTTATAATCAAGTCTATATATTAGTAATCATTTCTAATTAAGTTACAGTTTTTTATAGTTAAAACTCAGTTCATGTTGTGAAATAAATTCTCATACAGTAATTTTGAATCGCGACTAGTACTCATATTTAAGGCAGTTTCAAGTTTCAATATTTTTGTGCTTGCTGTTATAACTTAGCACCTTACTATTTAGGCTATCTTGCCCAGTGGGAAACGTTACAGAATTATAGTTATTTAAGTTGCTTTGATCAATACGCCGATATATATGCACTCAACTTATATATGAACGAGGCCGAATGCGAAATCAGTCATTTTGCAAAATGCCCTATTAAAGATAGAAATTGAAGATTGATCCGATTTACTTGCTACGTTATTCTAGCATCTATATTACATTTATTTCCAATTTTTATTCAATTTTTCATGTCCTTAAAAATTGAAGCAGTCGTTTTGTACAATTTCTGGTTAAATTCTATCAATAATTCTTGCAGTTCATACATATATATAGCTAATTATTTAACTTGCTTTGATCCATGCGCCAATACATATACTCAATTTATATACCTTTAGAGTATTATTTTAAACAAAAAATTGTCCTTCATATTAGGATAGAAATTTAATAACCAATCTGATTTACGTTATTTTCGCTTCTATTTTATAGTTAATGCGCAGATTTTTATCCAGTTTTTCTATTTCCTTAACAATTATTAGTGTAAACAAAAAATCAACACTTAATAAGGACAGAAATTGAATTACTAATCCAATTTATTTACGATGTTATTCTAGCATCTATTTAATAGCTATTGCGATTTGTTCACCAATTCTTTCTCTATTCTTAAAATTGAAGCTGTAATTTCATATAGTTTCAGGTTTAATTGTATGAATAGTTCTTAGCTTTCCATTTAATCATTTTCATTCACAAAATTAATTACGTAAAAATTTTAGCAACTAGTTCGGTGGAAACTCACCCTCAAGAAATGTTGTAATTGATTTTATTAGTTAATAATTAACTATAAATCACGCTAGAAGAAATTCAATTTTAAAAATTTAATTCTTAACTTTGCATTGGCTGATTGGGCAGTTTGCAAAATGACCGACTTCGCATACGGTCACGTTCATATATATTGTCAATTATTTGCCAAAGTTGCCAATTTTCTTAAATGTTAAAAGAATTTGATTTTAAAACTGATTCTAACTTTTTTGTCAATTAGGAAATCTAAAACTCAATAATCATTATAAGAAAACTATAACGTATTCTGGTATTACACAACCCCTATCCGTTGATCTACTCATACTCAGCGTTTATTCAGATCATTACTAGAATAGAAAGCTACAAGCAAGTAAGAGATATTTTTTATTCACCTATAATGATGCCAGACTATAGCTTGGCTTTCATTTCCTCATCCATTGCAATTTGAATCTCTTCGTTTTTGTGTCCTCATTTCTAATGTAACTATCACTTTTTTGGTTTTCTACCTTTATTATACTTGATCTTCATCTATTAAAAGTATTATAGCGTGTGATTTTGTATTGACACTGGCTTATAAATACAGAAGAGAATCAATTCACGTGCAAAATTTTTTCCATCTTCTGGTGTCTGCGCTGACAAAAGGAGTTTCTCACTTTTATACTGAGAATCCTATTCCGGGTTCAGGATTATATTGACTTGGTTATTGTCTCCATTTTATTCATCAGTATTAGCTCTCTTTTTTGTGTTCTGTGCCTATATATAAGTGATTGAAGTTGGTATATTCCCCCCGTTTTTAGCATTCTTCAATCCTTTTCACATCGATAAATTCATTTCTTAATCTACTGTACTCTCTCACCTTCCAAATATAAACGCCTCTTGCATCTAAGCCATCCAAGAAAATTCACTTCTCACTTTGAATTTTACCATTTCTAAGGCCAGGTATCAACTTGTCGACGTTGAAATCCAACTACTATTGAGTGACAGTATCAAGAATTATCCCGGCTGCAATTCCTTTGCACTTTTTCACGCTGTGACTTTGTATATATATATATATATATATGTTATAGACGCAAAAACTTTTATTGTATCTGTCTAGCTGAATCACATAAGAAAATTTACTTTTCATCCTGAATTTTGCCATTTCTAAGGCGGAATATCAACTTGTCAACGTTGATATCCCACGACGATTAGCTGCCTGTCCTATTTTGTGACAGTATCAAAAATTACTCTAATTGGATTCCCATTTACCTTAAACGCCACTATTTAACGTTTCTGATTTACCGACCGGATTAGTTTATTTCAGAAGTTTAAGGACCCCTATTAGAAGCCAATTTTGGAAGGCATCATTTGAAGGACTTGCCGGTTTACCGCTATCGCTAAGCATCATTTTAAATAGTCAAATTTAACTATCGGTTGTTGTTGAAAATAAAAGTTAAAGATTTAATTTCATGGATTCTGATTAAGCTCTTCTAGAACAGCAATCCGCTAGACTCAGTATTGAATCGCTTAACCAAGGAAAAGATAATCTATTGACATCCAAATTCTTTCATCAGCTTCTGCAAGATTAAAATTTCTAGCGGCAAATAACTTTCTAATCTGCACTTTACTGATAGCATAAGCAGTAAGAAATTCTCCTATTTGCATTATATCCAAACATTATCATGGCATTAATAGCAAACGACTCTTTCTTCCTAACTGAAAGTAATATGACTATCTTATCGACCGGCCAAACACCATCTTCTCTATTCTATGTCATCAATCCTACGTTATTCGCAATTTCCATGATATTATTAAGCGCTGGAATCATTGGTAATTTCTTTGTCGTCCTGACGATCATTGTAGGTAAAGAAAAATGTAAGCAAATTGCATATTATCAAATTGGTTACTATGCTTTTGCCAACGTTGTTTACTGCGTCTTTTTCATGCTATTGCAAATCATGACGATGAAGCAAAATCAATTCTATCAGGAAGTCTATGTAAAGATGCAAAGTAATATATCGGTATTACTGGAGATGGCGTCTTCATCTTCATTACATCAACAATTAATCGACTCGACTATTCGTTGGCCCTACTGTGAAATTTGTTTCTCCTTAATGTTTACTTCAACCATGGCATCGACATTAATTCTAGCCCATACCAGTACTAATTGGTATAAGACGTTGAAAAATAATCGTAAGAGTAGAGTTTTAACACCTAAGCGTTTAGTCTGCAAGATGATATTGATTTGGTTTGCAGCTTCTATCCTATCTGTACCTTATGCACTCATTATAGTTAGAACGTCCACAAACAGTTCCTTAGGTTGCAGATTTGAAAATTATAACTCGCCATTGCTCCTTTGGTACGCTTTAGCAAATGGTTTATTTATGGGAGTAGTCCCAGGCTTTACCATCATTTATAGCTATGGAAGAGTAATACGTATCTTTCAACATAATATTCATGCACTAGAATTAGGAATAACCTTAAACCGTCAAGAAAGTGAGTGGCAGATTAAACAGCACTCCATCGTGAAATTGCTAATGTTTGTTGCAGCAGTTTATATCCTATTTATGATACCTTACATTGTGGCAGTTGTCTATATTTCAGTGGGTCGTCAAAAGTACTTCTATGATCCAAAAGATGATGTTTATCTCTTTGAATTTTATAATATTCCATCCACTGCCGTTACCATTTTGTTTGCCTTGAATCCGATGATTTATATGGCTTATAACCAATTAATGAAGAAGGGGTTCCGATGTTCCTATTTTTTATCTTAGTAAAATCTCTTACAGCGCTTAAGCCAATATTTGCTCATGTTACTATTCCTTCATTATGATTAGCACTAATTTCAGAGTTTAGCTGCTGTTCAAACTTATCATTGACTGATTTTTCTTGTTTCTAATTCATGCTTAGCATCGACTTATGCATTTAAATATCAGTTTATAAGCTGTCATTTTTTTTGGCATATGAATTATATCAATGATGACATCGAAGAAAGCTTATACGTTTTAATTTACAGCAGCTGATTATAGACTGATATCTTGTCATCGGTACGGAAATAGATATCGTTTATTTTCATTTTCGGAAACTTTTGTTCGTTATTTCCTCATTTAAATCTTTCTATCTCTTAATCTATAACTGCATCAATCTCAAGACTTTGTTCAGAATGCAGCTCATAAGTAACCCTAGTTCATCTGTGATATGCATAATTGAATTTTCCCTTTTCGAACATTTATCTAAACATTATGTAAGCTATCTTTAGCTATTGTACGAGCTCTCGTAGCTTTATATTTTTTTATTTTATCATATTGAAGGAACTCAAGACATACATAGAAAAGATGTATAATATCTACTTCCCGGAATAATGTGCAGCTAAGTTTGTGATAATATCAAGTACATTGTTCAGCCATTTGAATTAATCATCATGCTATATCTAGCTCATGATGGAATGCTAGAATCGTACTAGAGGTATGGATCTTGTATTTGAATAATTCCTTATTACGAAAAAGGTAGAACTTATCATGATGCAATGATTTCAGATCGACAAAGCTCTTCATTCCGTTGATTCACGTTGCAAAATAGAGCTGAAATTGTTCTAGATAGAGAAATATTTTTTTCTTCTAAGGTATATAGAATACTAAGGCTATAAAATGTGGCAAAATATATCAATTAGAGTTAATTATATGGCACAGTACTCTGTTTTTCGCTGTACATCATAGAAGAGGCACTTTTTTCATTCCATCTTTATGAATTACGAAAGTGACAGAGACGATAGCAATTGCTATTTATAGTATTTAGATGTGCTTTTATTATTATGTTATTGATCTATTCTAATATTTTTTCTTTATAACTGCATCGTGATTCATTATATTGTTATTATCAATGCTATAGAAAATCTTGTATTTACTGTGACTAAAATGAAAGTGTCTTAATTTATGTCTCTCACAATTTCATCCTTTAATAATGATTATTAATCGATTTGCTTATCTATGCTCTTATATACTCCCGCCTTATATAATTAGATTATTAAAACATGAAATTACGTAAATACTCCTTAAATCGAGAATAGTGCCAAAATTTAATGGTTAGTTTAAGATGGAATATGATTGCTAATTTAGTGTGTTGTTGCATATTGAAGAGATTGTTTATGCATCTTAGATTTGGTTTACATGTTTTAAATCTTTATTGACACTTTGTTTATCTTGGCTTGGACTGGATTCGCTTATTAAAAATCAACGTTTAGGAATTGTTTATCATTTCTTTCATTTTGAATTTATTTAGCAAGATTGATCATGCAATTTTCCAAATTATTGTTTTCTATTCTAAATCGATGGATCATCATGTTATGAATATTATGGCAATATAAAAAATGCTGAAAGAACACTTATAATCTGATTAATAATAAATAAAAATGACGATTCTATTGCTATCATTTATTCGTTAATCGTCATGACAAGTAATTATAACTTAATTCATGGCTGTATTATCGAATGAAATACTTTTATTTGCAGCTTTGATTTTCATGCACTATTATGTATTGGTGCATTCTCAACTTTGATCTATTAAAAATTCTCGTACTAAGGTCTACATAAGTTGAATGCCAACTTAACAACGGCTGCAATAGTGAAATTAAATTGTTATTTTATGCTTGTTTTTATTTAAACGAGTTATCAAAATAGGTTTATCTTATCGATCTTTCAGAGTTTTCAAATTTCTTCCACTACGATTTTTATGTTCTAAAGTAGTAATCATGAACAGTGTTCCATGTTGTTATTGCGTTTGATCCGTAGAAATAGTATATTTGGTATTTTAATTAAACTCATATATACCATCGATTTATATCAGGATTACCAGCTATTGCTTCTGTTAAAACTATAGATTTAATATCTTGAAAATTTTAACCATAATTGAATTATGCAAATTTATTTATCTCGTGTTGTAAAGATATTGAAATGTAACGTTCTTATTATCAATATTGTCATTATCATCTTCCTTATCGTCGAATATTTATAGATATAGCAACTTAATTGCTAGTTATCAATTCAATATGATGTTCTTTATTCAGCATTGATACGCAATACACAATTCTACTTATTATCATGATTGCAAAGTATTGTTCATATTATGCAATAATTTAGCAGCGATTGCATATACACAATATGTTTCAAGTTTGCCTTGACGTAATGGCATAAAGGTCATGGCTGCGTATTACCAGTCCCTTTAGATCTATTATATTTATTACTATGTAATTGGAGGTAATAATAAAACAAAAACGTTGATCGTCAGTATGATTAAATGGTAGTAAATGTTAGTATATTCGCATGTATAGATTTTTGGCTATTACAAGGAAGAATTGAATAAGATATCATTTATATAACTCTGATATTATAGCTAATATGGATAATATATTATCTTCCTTGGTAGTCACGCATGGGTGGTTTACGTATTATTATAAGCGTTGATCATTATTCTCCCAATTTTTATATTATTAAACCAATCTGACATAAGATGAATTGCAGCACATACAGATCATTAGCATGAAGGATGGAACGAAATTTTATCTAGAAGATGCTACCCTTATTTTTTTAAAATAACTATCGGGTTAGGTAATATAAGGTTACTGACGCCTGTCTACAATTTTTTACCTTAATCCATTGTGAAACAAAACTACGGCTATTCATGCGTGCCCTTTTATAGGAATCATTAATTTCTGCATAGCTATAACTCTGGATAAGTTTTATAATGCTACGAATTATTACCAACTCTATCGATAAGTAATCGAGAAAAGTTAGCCATTTTACGCCCGGTAAATAATGAATATCGGCTACATAACTTTGGAAAATATCGCTATCATTTTAGTTACTGCACATTTATGTAGAGCATGCAGGGAATTATTTCTACCGAGATTGTAATATTTGCAATTGCTTAGTGCAAATATATAATATGTAAATGATGACTGAAAATCAAAAATATAAAAGGGATAAATTTGGTAGACTGTTCGATAGTGAAATATGAATGATTATAATTTTTCATAAAATTAGGTGCGCTCTTGTGATTAAGATTAATACTTTTTTAAAACAATGAGTAAGCATGCTGATTTAACTATTTCGGTGATTTTATTAAATACCAGTTACGCTTGATAAAATATTCATCTACCATAAACAAGGATTTAAGTAACATAGAAAAAATTAAATAGAAATTAATTAAATAGCATATAGGACATAATGAACACTTATTCATCCCTAGCATCAATAATTTTCTTTTATATAAGTTGAAGAATGTTATTTCTTATTTCGTTCGATGGAATTACAAGTAACGAGTTTGTTTCGCTGTCGATTGATTAAAAATAAAATGTAGTATTTCAGCTATTTTTCTTACCTATATTATAAATTTCATTCTATCTGCGTGACGTTTGCACATTGCACCACCAAAAATTGTAATAGCGTTACATTAGAATTGAATTTATCGATAGCAGTAAATATTAATTGAATCTAAAGTTGAAATGATGACTTTGTGTCTATTCTATACTAAATTCTTGTCGTAACATTCGAAGAATAATATTAGACTTTTTTTGTCCTCTATCGATTACTTGATGTTAATAATAATTTCATTTGATAGTCCATAGTGTGCAATTGATCCAATGAGTTTACTCTAGCAATTGAAATCCATCGCTATTATCAAGAAGAACTTTAAGATATTTGTAGAATCGAAGAGACGGGAACAAAAGTGAAAGTCCTGTCCTTCAGTTGTAATTGTCATAAACAGAACTACAATAACAATTTATAAGATAGAGATCAGAGTAGGTGCTGTAGATAATTACTGTAGTATGATTCAATAGAATCGATTTCCATTGGAGTTGTTTGACTTAGAGTTGGAAAAATTCGTGTTGACGTTCAAGCTTGACGATACTTGCTGGTAGAAAATGTATCTGTAAATTGTCAAATAAGTTTTAATCAGAGCTAGGTTAGGATTACATGGTTTATTAATTGGTCAAGTACTGATGAGTATCTCTAAATCTAGTTCCTAGCTCTAGTTTATTATCATCATAATGCTTGCTTTGCACCAGCTTAAAACTACGCTTTTAATACTTTTCTGGAAGAAAAATGGGCTATAGACTGGTATAAAGATAATTATAAAAATCTCGGTAATAGAATACAACTTATTTTAAAACTAGTCTTCAGTTCTAATTTCGGATTCTTTACTGATTATTATTTGGCTACATACTACTAAATTAACTTTGTGTCGTCCCACACATTTTAGAGTTAAATCATCAGTAATCGAGCGTCATTTCTTGTAACGGCTCAATAATCCTATTATGATATTAATAATAAATTACTGTAATAATCATGTAGCTAATTAAATGAAATAGGCTTTAAAAGTAGTTTCGGTTCTACCACTCTCTCATCATAGCACGATTTGGCGAGAGAAGCATTTCAAAGATGATATATTTGCGGTTTAATACTTGTGCAATTGATTACTACATAAAATGATTGCAATAAGGATTGGCTTTTAGTTTTACTTCTTTTCATTATAGAACGACTTGATAATATATAGCTATCATAAGTAAATTGATACTTAGGATGATTTTATAGCGTATTCTTTATTCAAGTTGCATTACTTGTTATTTCTTATCCTAAATTCGATCAAATCATTTGTAAAAATGCCTTATAGTGGCAAAGATTGCCTTACTTAAATAATTGTTTATTACAATTAATTTTCGAATCTAGAGCATTTTTCAATAGAATATCAATTAACGATAATAGCTAATGAATATTAA